ATGTATGTCTTTTTTTTTTTTTGAGACAGGGTCTCACTGTATAGCTCAGGCAGGCCTTGAACTCCCTTTGTAGCCCAGGCTGGCCTCATACTCTTCATCCTGGATAATTGAGTATGTAGGCGAAGGAGAAATAAGTAATTTTGGATGATTTTGATTCTTGTGTTTGCTTGCCTTCATCTTAAGTATAACAACCTACGTTTTAAGGTACAACTTTGTACTTTCCCATCTTTCCTTATTTTCAAAAGTCCTATGTTTTTCTAAAAAATACGCTTGTGAAAATGAGTTCCTGCCACCACAATGGAATCCACAAGATCCTACGAGCTCCAAAGAAGGATAAAGGAACATTGTTCTGATGAATTTTTTTAGGTACACCCCCTAGAATGACCATTCAAGAGATTTAACCCTGGTTGTATCACAGCTAGAATTTCTACAGTACCAGTTCCAGACAGGGACAGATACTCCAAAGGATAGTCCCTCATTGGCTAAGATTGTTAGCTAAAGGTCTCCAAGATTTGGTGGACACAGGATGTATACTTGAGGGGACTGTGATCCAGACAATTTGGAAGCCCCATTGAAGTTTCCATGGCTGAATTTTGTGACAATATTTGTGAATTGAGGAGACATGAATTGTATGTACTACAGCAGGATTTTTTAAAATAAAAGATTGTTATCTTTATAAAAGCCACCCCATTTCTTCTTTTGTCTTTTATTCATGTGACAGAATGTGGCTTTGCTTTTAATAAAGATATCTGTAAGGGCTGGCAGAATGGCTCAAGTGGTAGAGCACTGAGTGAGTATGAGGCCCTGAGTTCAAACTCCACCACAGTCAAAAAAAAGATGTGCCTCATGTTTGGTAAAATCACACCAGTGAGTTGTCTTCTTGCTGATTTTGGAAAGGAAATTTCCTGAGTACAGAATGCTCCATGACTGCTTTGTATATTCACTTTTATTCTAGTTTAAATTTATTTATTTATTTTTAATTGACAAGTAATAACTGCATATGGTTACGACATATAATGTGGTATTTGGTATGCTTAATGAAATTCCAGAGGCCTGAGGCATTAGAGCAGTTCATTGCATGTGAAAGTTCTGCTTCCACCCATGCTGAACAGAAAGGAATGAATGTGCATGAGTTGGGCCCGCCGCTCCCTAGGGAAGGGCCTTGGCTACAGGAGGTTAAGGCAACAAATACCAAATTGTTTCCCTTTGGAGATTCTAGGAACCTCTGGAATCCTCAAGGGCTCAGCATCCTTCAGCAGACAACCCCAGAGCCCATCTAAGAGCCTTCTGTTCTAAGCATTCTCAAAACCATAGAAGTTATCAACACAGGCCTTATTCAACCAAAAACCTTTTAATGGCGTTAAGTCACATAATTCTATAAAAGCAGTACTTACTCTGGCCCTTTCTAAAACATTTCACTGTCTCCTTGGAGAAGCCAGAGTATTTTCCTTATATACAACAGTAGATTTGGAAGATTATTTCCTCTAGCCTCTTATAACTTGCTTCAGCATCTCCAGTATTTCCTCATAATTTGGATTTTATTGTAGGATTTACAGGCTTCACTAACTGTATATCCATTTTATTTTCTTCTGCAAGAATAGTTCATGAAGTGTGGGGGTGCACTTTGCACTGCACCATATCATCAGGCAACTAATGTCCTTATTCTCCCTTTCTTCAGATGTTAAACTTTTCTGTATAACTCTGTTCTCCACCAATACTTCATGCAGTGGTTTCAGCACCCACTGGTGACTATTGACTAGGTTCATACTTTCATTAGGGGTATTTCCTAACATTTTAATGCCTTCATCATGTGGAATTCTTCTACCAATAACTTTCTTTAATACTCTAATGTAGTTTCCTTACAATACTATTTTTAAATGATAAACAAAAAAGGATAAAAACTCTTTATTCTGTCAGTTCATCAGTTTTCAAAGTAATGAGATAACATACAAAAGTTGCCCGAGAGTTTGTGCATATGCACATGAACAACTGTGTGTGCAATTATGAGCACAAAGATTTTTACATATTTCTTTTGTATCAATATATAGTGAGGTCATTTCTTATTCTGATACTCAGGTTGTCTCATTTTAGGTCAGCATGAGCTACTTAATATTACTGTCCCATCCTTGATTTCTGGAGTAAGATGCCCCCAGCTCATTTTAATATTTCTCCTAAGTGTACTCATTCTTTTTACTGAGACTTAATATTGAGAGAACAAAATCTGGATGGTAGGTATACTTACTGCTGCCGAGTTGTCTGACATTGCTTCAAGGATTTTTTCAATGAAAGATGGAAAAACCCATATTTTTTGAAGGACAAAATATTAGACTAATATTTCTAATTTAAAAGTTACCAGTTTTTAATATAGGTTAATTTTATACTTCTCTATCACTTTCAATATTTAAAACTTGGACCTCCAAAGAAATGTAAATACTTAAATATAATATTCTATATAAAACAGGCTGAAAATAACGATAGCAATATTACTAATTATAGTAAGACTCTAAATGCTTTTTCAAATATCTTCATAACTTTTGACTCTTACATTATATGGTGAAGGTAGTGGTTTTGAAATTCACTGAAAATAAGTACATCCTTTGTGTATTTATTCCACTGTTTGATATTCATTCAGTTGGATTCAATTGTTTTTGTTTCGAATTTTTTTTAAGTGTTTTTTATTCTTCTTGGTTTGTTTTAAATAATGTAAAACATGTATATGATACAATCAAAATTATATAGGAAGGGACATTCACTAGTTTTATCTCATACCTGTCCACTTCTGTTTCCTTCCTTGTCCATGGATAACTATTTTTAATATTTATATGTGTTCTGTGATGTTTTGGTGTAATTTTTGTTTTGGATCCTCCTTTTAAGTCTTTTCTTAGGGTCAGATTATATCCATATAGAGATATTTTGCTCATTCTTCATGCATCAATCATCTCTTCAACAAGTCTCTTATTGGTAACCAGCTAGTTTGTTTCCACTTTTTGGCATCATTGTCCTCAGGCACATCACTGTCTGTCAAAATACTTTGAGATTTTGAGTCTTCAAGTGAGAGATTGCTCAAGCATGGGCAAATGCCTTTAGTTTTACTAAATAATGAGCATACTTTTAAATGTGTTATCTTTGCCAAATGTAGGGATTTTTAAAAATCTTTTCATTACAGAGAAAGAAAATAACACTCTCACTGTAATAACCCTACTTACAAAAATATTTTATTGGTGGAATTTAAATTATTAAATCATGCATGATTCTTGGTGCAATATTAACACTTTGAAGAGTACAAAAAAATTTTTTTAACAACTTTAGGGTTCTTAAACTATTTTCTTGGGGGGGAAATAATATAAATGTCACCAACATGCTCTGAGCCTAGGGTCTTTTTTGCAATTTCAAAGAATGAAAATCATGAAGAAAGTCAAGTGGGAGAGTTTACCGAGATAGAAAAATAGCAAAGAGTAGAGCCCCTAGAGCTGAGAGGCGTAGGAAGAGAGGACTGCCAGAAGAGTGATGGTAGTCTGAGGTTTTTATCCATTTACACTAGAGCCTTGCTCAATCTCTAAGCTAATTAGGTGTGCAGAAAGCAGCATTCTGGTTTGCTATGCTTGAAATGTGTGATTGGCTGTGCCCTTTAAACCATGGGGGTTTGAAATTCCTACTAGTCCTCATAATGTTCCATTCTGGTCAGCCCTGCTTTTTCTTCTTTCTGCTCTTTAAGGTAAGAGGAAGGTCATAATGGGGTTTTCCCAACTCTGCTTTGCCTTCTTTCCACCCTTTAAGATCACAGGAAAGTCATAATGGAGTTTTCCAGGGACCTCCTGTCCTAGTTATACTAAGTTTAGCTAACTGCCTAGCCTACTTGCTCATAACAACAGGAAAAGTTTTAAAAACTGTCTGTCTATATGTATACATAAATGTGTAGATGTGATGATAGATAAATAGATAGATAGATATGGAAAAATACACACATTAAGAGCTACAGACATAATCTTTTTTACCAGAATATTTTTTATTTTTAAGAAACTGACTAGCATTTTAAATCAAAGAGTTATTTTATTGTCTTTTAAATAAGTCCCCTTATCATCACAATGCCACAGTAGATTGTGTTCTATTCTGACAACATAGAAAAGGGAGTACAATTAACAGGTTCTGCAGAATACCACTTAAAATATTTTTTAAAGTGTTGGTAAATCTGCAAGTCTGTCTCCTTGGGCCTACAAGATAACGGGCTCTCATGTTCATAATGAAATATATTTGTCAGTGTTTTCTATGCTTATATATGTTACAAGTATAAGACTGTCCTATCTTATGACATTTTGGTTCTTATTTTCTTCTGAAATTTAGGACTAGCAACCCCAAGAACTGAGTGAGTCATATTTACATTTATATCTCACACACTGAAAGAATTCAACCTCATATTTGAACATTAAAAATTATAGGTTCACATTTGAATAGCAGCTAGTTATATATAAAAATATATAGCTGAAAAGGTAACTGGTATCAAGAAAAACCGTTGAGCAAACCACTAATGATTTGTTTTCTGGTGGCACAATATTATCCTTCATAATAAACAGTAACAAAACGTCTAAAATTCTTCTTCTTCTTCAGGATTTTCATCCCTTTCTTGAAAAGGAAACGTTTGGATATCTTATTTTGCTTTTTCTCCTTCAAATCTAAAATCAACAAAACAACAATCAACATATATGTCCCCATATATGAGACTGTAGGCTCAATTCAAATCACCTTTTCCAATAAGTTTATGAGCTCACTCCATCTCATTTGTACTGGTTATGAAGTCAGTCAGACTCTTTATACATTCAGTTAACAACATTCTAACTTTCAAAACATAAGGATATAGCTACTGTCTACTTAGCTTGCCAGGATATGTATTTTGATGAAACAGATTGGCATGTAAGTGCTATTTATGTTGAATTAGTCTAGAAATGATAATTTGCTACTAGTAAAATGGATACATAAAATGTAAGTTTGCTTATGAATTATTTTTAAAGTTTGTTTAAAAACTGACTAGGAAGAAGTTTGCTACCTTTTGTACAAACACGACCGCAATCCTCTTTGGAAACAAAGTTATTTTCATTTCCTCCACAGCCAGAATAGGTAAAGGGTTCACAGACTTGGAATCTTGAGTTAAAATAATATCGAGTTATATTAGCAGAGCATGATCCCTCATCTTTTGGACTGTAGCAATATGATGGACCTTCAATGTAAAATAAAATAAAATTAGAACTGCTATAATACCAAAATTAATGAATGATTACCAAAGTAACTGAAGAAAATTTAATCCCATACACACTTCGTTCTGACTCTAAAATAGTATACTCAACCATTTAAGTAGGTGTGTCTTAAATTAAGGGTAACCTTACATGCTCTATTTTGGTAATCACAAATGTTTATAAACTGACAAACTCTGCCTTTAATCGTTGGTATGTGAAAAGAAATTGAGGCCCTGAACCCAGGTATGGTCAAGTAAAAGTGGGTTAGGTTTCAAGGGATAAGACCTGAAATACTTTGGTAAGCTTTCTTGTGTTGGTGGTTTTATTTTAAATGCTTGTATCAGCTCTCCTTCCATTATTCTTGATGAATAATGGATCTATATTGAGAATATGTATGTGTGTATGTTTACATTTTTCCCAAGTAACCAACCATCAGAATATTTATATCTATACAAACAACCTAATAGAGTATGAGCAGCAACCATCTCCCCATTAATTCAAGATTTTGCATATTTGACACAGTGGAGATTTTAAGAGTTTTACCAAAGTCTCTGCCAAAACAAGTTAGTCTCATCTGTTGAATTTTCATAATCTTTATGTCTCTGGTGTGTCTGGGGGAAGCCCTGAACTATCTCTCTCCACAAATGTTACCTATAGCCCCTGTATCCTGTTGTTTCAAGGATGGGGGTGGGCGGTAGAATAGGTAAGAAATGGAAAAAAAAGAGAATGAGGATGGAGGATTCTTTGTGTGGACATTTGCAAATACTACAGAAAACAGAAATTCAACCAAAATCTTAAGTCTGTACATATTCCACTATCATATGCAAAACTGATTCCATACAAACTTGAGATCATAGAATTCATTATTGAACACTATAATTTTACATAAAAATTGAGGAGATGAGAAATACAAGCTGAGTAGCCTTTATCCAAAATGCTTGAGACCAGAAGTATTTCACAGTTTTTCAAATTTTGGAATATTTGCATATACATAATGAAATATCTTGGAGATGAGACCCAAGTCTAAATAAGAAATTCATTTTTGTTTTATATACACCTTATACCCACAGCCTGAAGGTAACTTTGTCCAGTATTTTTAGTGTGCCTCTGTTTTGACTGTGACCTATCTTATCACATGAGGTCAGGTGTGGAATTTTCCACTTGAGAAGTCATGTAGATGCTCAAGCTTCTTTTTTTTTGGAGCAAGAGCACCTCAAATTGCAGATTTTTGATTAGGGATGCTCACCTTGATCCTGTAGGTCTATAGAAACAACGTGGTAGGAAAAAGAGCAAAATTTTGAATAATGGCTTTGTCACCTCCCAGTCTTGAGAACTTGGCAAGCCATTAACCTATAACTTGTGCCCTCATACATAAAAATGTGGACGTGGTACTCCTTCACGGAGCAATAGTATTCAAACTGATATGCCTGGGTTCGATTCCCAGCACAGTAAAAAAAAGAAAAATGGTATTATATAATATGTGAAATCATCAGAAAGCAAACCATATTGATTTCACATCAAATTATTATTTTTTACCTAAAAGACATAATAGAAAAGTAAAATAGAAACAACATAAAAATAGTACTTACTTTTCCTCTTCGGTATACAGTAGTCCCTACAAGTAGCTTCATCAGGGAACTGATTCCCGTTATGCTCACAGCCACCAGACATGAATTTTTCACATGCCATAGAACTTAGATTGAAGAAATACTTCCATGTGGGCTGCCCACACTGAACATCATTCACATCCATCCTGCAAACAAGAGGAACTTCTAGGGAGGGAAAGAGCAAGGAAACAATGTTATTCAAAGGAGCATCTTAGTATTACCTTTAGAACTTTACTGTAATTTCTGAAACAACTGTGGAAAAACAGTCATATTTAGTACTGGAACAGTAATCTCTCAAAGACTGACCCTTAATCTGGTGACTCAGCTTTTCTCAAACACAGTGTATCCAGACTTGACTCAGCTGTGATACATCTTTCAAGTTAGTGGAAAGACAGTTCTCTGATGATTTCTTCATCTGGAGTTAATCAAAGCTTATAACAAATATGCATCCCCAACCCTTCATTTCCTTGGTGGCTTTTTCCAAGATAAATTTACGTATTCATGGGACAAAAGTGAAGTTATATAATGAGCTAAATCACGCTTCAATAATAAAACCCACTAAAGCTATTTCTTATTGACGAGTAATTGTCAGGAGGAAAGTTTTCTCAAGGAGAGAAAATCACAGTCTTGAAACTATTGACAAATACAGAAAAGCACTAGCGTTGTACTTAGTACAACGTTCCCTTGCATTTATTTTGCCCTATCATGAACTAAGGCATTTTTCCAGGAGTACACACAAACACTGAATTATGATGAATGTCAGTTAGGCGAAACGAATTATGTTAGTAGTCGTAGATTTGTGATTACTTTTGGGATACTAAAAGCAGATTTGCTTCACACTTGAGCAAATTTAGACTAAAACTTATGGGAGAAAACCAGATGTGGAAAATGAGCTGAGTTGCTACAAGGTCTTTTGGACAAGAAGCAGCGGACGGAGGTCACTTACTCTCTATCCTCCAGCAAACGTCGTTGCAGGCCTCCAAAGATTCGAAATTGTTGGCGTTGCCCAGGCAGCCGCCGTACGTGAACTTGAGGCAGTTCTGCGTGTGCCTGTCATAGTAGTACCTGGGAATTAGGGCCCGGCAGGGTCCATTGTCCGGGCGCAGGAAACAGATCTCCGTGTCGTAATTTGCTACTGGAGGAGAGCAACAGGCAGGGAAAGTCAGACAAAGTCCCTGGGAGGGACAAGTACTGTCCTGGGAGTTCTGTCCCCACCGCTTCAGAGCAGAGGAGCCTCTGCGGAGAGAGCAAAGTAGAGCGCAAGTCCCCTCGGAGCGCGGCAGAGGCCTGGGGACAGCGGGGACAAGGGACGAAACCTGGCAGGACGGGGACTCCCGGACGGGGCTGGATACCTGTGGTCGCCGGGGTGACGAGGCCCGGCGCAGCCCTCATCATCAGTAGCAGCAAGGGCGACAGCAGCAGCCCTAGGGCGCGAGCAGGGTCCATGGTGCGGGTCGGAGCGGGCCGAGGCGGCTGCGCCTCCCAGGTGGGCGAGCTTTATGTGGGGCAAACGTCCAGCCGACCCCGACGGGGCGGAGCGCGGGGCGGCTGATTCACGCGCGGGGCTGCGGCCGGCCCTCCCCGCCCCCGCGCTGCCGCGTGCGCGCGCCAGGAATTCCCCGCAAGTTGAAAAGTTGAACCTGCTTCCCAAACTTTCTCCCGCGGCGGGGCGGGGATGCCCGGGGAGTGCGTGTGTCAGGGATGGGAAATCCGCAAGCCAGAGGGAAATGGCCTGCGGGTCCTTGCTCAATGTCCGAGCCGGAGGATCGCCACCAAGCAGTCTGAACCACATCTGGAGAGCATGAAGTCCACGCAGGCGAAGGACTGAGAAAGAGCAGGTTCCATACAATCCACTCTAGATGCGAAAGCTAAACGTGTTCATACGTACACGTCTAGTTCAGTGGAATTCTAGTTTACATTTAATACAGACTCCTAATATATCTAAAGTGTACGAACTAATGATAACTGTACAGCGATCACTTCGATCAATAATTAGAACATGGCCATCATCCAGAAAGTTCCTTTGCTTCAGACTCCTGCCGAGAGTCATCCTTCTATGACCAGGCCCGGGAAACCACTGTTATGATTTCTATCACCGTGGATTAGTTTTGCCTATTTCAAACTTCATATAAATGAAATCATAAAATAAGTACTGATTGCTTTTCTTTTGCTCAAGTACTGTTTCTTGAAATATACCCTTATAAGTGTGTAACAGTAGGCCATTCCTTTAAATCCAATATACAAATATCCTGTTTTTGCTGATATGCCACAAGTGTATTATTTAACTCGGAGTTGGGAATAAAGGTGTTCTCTTGTATACATGCATTTTTTATTATTCTTGAGCAAAATAATTAGAAATATTAGAAAGTGGCACACAGTTTTTCAAAATGGTTACTTATAATTCATAAATCATGGAGGAGGGTGGTAGCTATGCTTTTGAAATGTAACAAAAAAGTTTAGAGAAGTACCCTGGGGGAGTCCTGAGGCTCTGTCCAGATCAGTCCTTTCTCACACATTTCCTAATGTCAGTACATCTACTAAAGTTCATTGTTCTTTGACATATTGGCCTCTGAACTACTTTTTGTTTACACAAAAAAAAACCTACATTGAAATTTCACAAAAATATTAAAGATATTTTTGGAAGATATTTAAAAGGACTCTCTTGATGAATGTGTTTTCTCTTCCCTTTTTCTCTTGTTCCATTTGACAATCTCTAGTGAATACTTAGTCCTGACTTTTCCTGAGGATACTGGAAAGGAGTTTAAAGAAGTTCTCTTTCAAGTTTCTTGAAAACCCTGAAAAGTACAAGAAACTTGCTCATCATGGCCAGTAGTCTGGGACATTTCGCATCATATCTCTTTTGCTAGGTTTCAACTGCAGAATCATACTCCTAAGAAGAGACTAACCTGGTCTGGAAATGATGACAGCTTTGATTAGCAGACACCTATGATTAAGAATGACAGTCACAGCTTTGTAAAAGCTGAACAACAAGATCTCCAGGAGACAAAGAAAAAAAGGGAGGGTTTATATAGTTTACTGACCTCCCACTGACCTCCCGTGAGAAAAGCTGAATATAGTCACTTTTCCAGAACCATGGTCAGTGTGAACTAGCACATCAGCCCTACAGACAGCCAGCTTGTTTTGGAATAACACATGCATAGGAGAATCACATTCAACTCTCCCAAAACCTTCCAAATATTATCAGAAGAGGGAAATTTTAGCAAATACTTAGCCAGGGTCATGGTCAGAAGAAAAGTTAATTTCAAGCTTACCTATTTCCATTGTTAAATATGTCTCCAAACTCTATTAAAATGAAATTCAAGGACTGATACTGAATCCACTTGGTATTCAGCTTGATTACTGTCATGTCTCTTCTTTGTTCTCAGCTAGCAGACACTTTTTAACTACTAGCCTTGCTGGGTTCCTGTGGCTCACACCTGTAATCCTAGCTACTTGGGAGGCTAAGATCCAGAGAACTGAGGTTGGAGGCCAGCATGGACAAATATTGTGTGGGACCCTAGTTCCAAAATAACCAGAGCAAAATAAACTGGAGGTGTGGCTCAAGCCTTCTTTGCAAATGTGAAGCCCTAAGTTCAAATCTAAGTTCCACAAAAAAATGAGCCTTTTGAATCAAGGAAGATATTTGGGGAAATTGCACATTATGTTGGGAAATGCATTTGGAAATCAGAGGAGACCTGTATTTTATTCTGTTGGACAAGTTACTTAGCCTTTTTGAGCTTGTTTTCTTCCTTATAGAAAAGACATAACATCTCTACTTCAAAGTGGAAAGTACCTAAGCACTTGCAGATTGTTTCAGCCCCTCACCCAATGGCACAGAATCCATCCTCATCCTCTCTTCCATTATCCTCCCTTCCACTTCCATTGACAGCCTTGGCACAATTTTCAAGATGGCGCACCAGCTCCAATCCAAAAACAGTACAATATGAACTGTCCTGTGGGATTGAAACCCTGGGCCTTGCTCCCATCAGCTTTTTCCTCATTTGGACTCAGAGACCACCTCCCTACCTATAAGTGGTCACACCAATCATACATTATTTTATGGTAGTTTCTTTTTAAGTTAATGATCTTCAAGGTACTTCCACCCAGAGCAGAAAATTAGATAACTCAGGCCTACTGTGTGATTCATGAACTTGGAACAGGCATGGGGCAAAAAGAGACCTCTGTTCTTTCTAGGGAGTAGAGTCCATAGGCGCAGTTTGAAATTTCCTTCCTTTTTCTATCTGTGCCAAATGGTGCATCTCCTAATGCTCCTATGATCACAAAAGGAGAAAGGAGAATTGGATAAGGGGATAATTAGAAGTTTGAGAGTGTCAAGCCAAGTTATCAGGGAGGAAAATACTTCTTTTAATTTAGGAACACTTGTTGTTTTTATAGCCAGGAAATAGACATCTTGCAAAGTAAAAGGAATCTGAATTTCCCAGCAACTACTCTTACATTACTGAATTTACACTTGAGTCCATCTGGGAGGAGCAAAGTGACTTCCACAACCTCCAGAGGAATGTCAAGATTCTGTATTTCCTTAAACCAGTATCTAGGCCAAAAGGTTGCCACAAGCCTGAGGTAAATAGTTCAAAGTCAACAGGAAATACATCCAGATTGATTTGTCATTACCATACCAAATGACAGTTACAGTCGCTATGACTAAAGACAGAAGCTCATAATAGATTGGAGCTTATAAGATATAAGTCATGGAGTTCTTATAATTTGAATGTTGAAAGAAACTAAAAGTATGTTTATTTTATAGATGGGTAAACTGGGACCTAGAATGATAAAATGACTACTTACACTTACTTATCCATGTTTACTTAACATAGTTTCTGTCAGAGTTGAGATTAGAACCCATAGTTCATGATTCTTAGTTCTGTATTTTTCTAACACACCCAAGCTTGGGTTCATTTGAATGAACCAAGACCTTAGAGTAGAAGGCTAAATACCAGAAAGAAACACAAAAGCTAAACTGAGTCAGGACCATCTCTGCATGTGGTAGACCTTTGCTTCTGATCTCTCTCACAGCTTCTTTGACCTCATAACAAATTAATGTGAGGTGAATTTGGATCATATTAGCCTCTAGAATTTCTAAACCTCCCATCTTCTAAGAGCCTTACATGACTTGTAGGAGACCAAGAATTTATGGAAGTGATTGAGCAGATAGTCTTCCTCTCTGTCAGTCACCTTAGAGGGAGGTGATTAGTCTGGTTCATGAGTAAATGATGAAAATGAATTGAGGCGAAAGTGATTTAGGGAGTCATGTTATATTTGTTATGTAACAGCTACATGGATGACACTTAATCAACAGACAGTTCTTGCTGCTTGTTAGTTTAAGCCTTGTCAAAATAAAACCTGAAATGGGTCCAACTGGCACTAAAGAGGAGTCTAAACATCTTCTATGAAAGGCAGTTAATCTCCTCTGAGAGATGAACATTCATGAGGGTTTTGTTAAAATTTAGGCAACTCTTTCACCAGCTAGGAATTTTTTCTAGCAAGTTGGGCCAGATGGGAAACATTTGCTCCAACATGCCCTCTGTTGGACAGAGTGTATTTGAGAGTATACCAGAGGAACCACATCCTCTATGACTAATGTTTGTCCTTACCATTCTCTCCAGAGAGAGAGAATGGAATGTATTACGTGTCTTTGAGTATCATCATTCATCCATTCACCTAATTAAAATGTTAGATGTTTCAAATGTACCAATTTTGTGCTGGATGTTTGGAATACAAAAATAAACACATTAGGGACTTCATAGTACAACAGAAAGACAGATAAATGCCATATAACCAATGCTCTTAGTACAATATTAAAATATGTTTCAGGTTCTATTGGACCACAGAGGAAGAAGCATGCAGCACTCAATTCAAAATAAAAACCGATCCATTCAAACACATCTGACTCTATATCTCCTATGTGTATGGCATGGATATACTCATTCCTTCACCAGCTAGCTGCTTTGGTTGGTTGCTTAAGGTGCAGTGAATCTAGCAGAATATTGCCTTCTTCAGAGGGGAAGCATGGCAGAAACCCTTTTATTCTGTTTCCTTGTATGTTCCTTCAAGTGCCATCATGACTATACAGGGTACAAACCATCATTTCTTTTGTTTAATATCCCCCCCACACTTTTGAGGCTGGTCTCAATATGGAGCCTAGCCTAATTTCAAACTCATGATCTTCCTGCTTCAGCCTCCCCAGTGCTGGGGATTACAGGCATGTCGTACCATACCCAGCTCTTTCACATCTTTGTGTATGGCACACAGAAATTTGGGTCAAATTTTGTAAAATTTTATCCGAGGTCTCCTACACACAGCACAGACTCACTGCTTACCTGAAATTGTAGCCTGGGTTATTACAGTGAAGATTTTCATAGCAAGAATGGGGGAATGAAGAGAAAGAGTCTTCTAATTTTTATATACCATGTGGGAACCTCAACAGA